GAAGAAATAGGGGAGACATGATAGCAGCATTCCAGTATTTGAGGGGCTGTCTGTTCTGTATTTCTACTCTATTCTATTCTGTATTTCTATTCTATTCTTATTTCTATTCTATTCTCTTCTGTATTTCTATTCTATTCTATTCTGTATTTCTATTCTATTCTGTATTTCTATTCTATTCTATTCTATTCTATTCTTTATTTCTATTCTGTTCTATTCTGTATTTCTATTCTATTCTATTTTGTATTTCTGTTCTGTTCTATTCTGTATTTCTATTCTATTCTGTATTTTTATTCTATTCTATTCTGTATTTCTGTTCTGTTCTGTTCTGTATTTCTGTTCTATTCTGTATTTCTATTCTATTTTGTATTTCTATTCTATTTTGTTCTGTTCTGTATTTCTATTCTATTCTGTATTTTTATTCTATTCTATTCTGTATTTCTATTCTGTTCTGTATTTCTATTCTATTCTATTCTGTATTTCTATTCTACTCTGTATTTTTATTCTATTCTATTCTGTATTTCTGTTCTATTCTCTTCTGTTCTGTATTTCTGTTCTATTCTATTCTATTCTATTCTATTCTATTCTCCAATTTCTCTTCTCTTCTCCAATCTCTATTCTATTCTATTGTATTCCTGTTCTATTCTATTGTCCAATTTCTGTTCTTCAATTTATCTTCTCTTCTCTTCTCTTCTAGTCTAGTCTAGTCTAGTCTAGTCTAGTCCGTAATTTCTCCATTCTATTCCATTCCATTATATTATATTATATTATATTATATTATATTATATTATATTATATTATATTCCTTATTCTATTCCATTTCTTATTCTGTTCTATTTCATTCTGTTCTATTCTATTCTTCTATTATTGACATACGCTCGCTCGTCTTCTAGTCAAGCGGCTGGACTAGAAGACCTCCAAGTTCCCTTCCAGCTCTATTCTATTCTCTATTCCTCGACTTACGACCATAATTGAGCCTGAAATTTCTGGCTTCCTGGTTTACTTTGCTTGTCAGAAGGTCGCAAAAGGGGGACCCCGTAACCGTCACAAATATGAACCCAATGCTAAGCGTCCAAATTTTGGTCCCGTGACCACGGGGATGCTGCAGTGGTCGTTAAGTGTGAAAAATGGTCCTAAGTTACTTTTTTCAGTGATGTCGTAACTTCGAAACAGCCACTAAATGAACTGTTGTAAATCGAGGACTATCTGTATTCAGTAACCAGCCTGCATTTACCACTTTTTGCACCACAAAAACCAGGATTTATGATATTTTTTTGCCACTAGTGGTCTTACTATTGTTTTTTTTTTAGCAAAACCACCCCGTAACAAACCATGGGTTTACTTAATGACTGTGGCACTCGCTTAACGACCGCGGTGTGTTAGCTTTCCAGCCGCTGTGTTTGCTTAACCAACAGCGCAATAAATGTTGTAAAATTGGGCATGGATCACGTGGTGATCCGCTTAATGGACATCAGGACTTAGGACTAAAAGTATAGGCTCCATTACGGTCATAAGTCGAGGACTGCCTGTAAGCATGAAGAGACTGAGTGACAACGGTGGCCAAGAAGGATCAGGGCTCCCACTCTGTAAAATTGTGCTGTATTTTAGAATTTCAAAATAACTACCCCAGGCTTCTAGGTTGCACCTGGAGTTGTTTTCATCATGAGGACTAGAAACGTGCCTTTTTTTTTTACCAAGAATGCTTTTGAAACATTTTTATTTATTAATTGATTTAAATCAAACAGACAAACCACCCATCCTCCCTCACAGAGCAACCCTGGGCGGCGCACAAATAAAACATTAAAAATAATAAAAACCATACCATAATGACTAGAAACTTGCTTTTTTTTTAACCAGGAAGGCTTTTGAAACATTTTTATTTATTAATTGATTTAAAAAAACAAACAAACTAACTAACCACCCATCCTCCCTCACAGAGCAACCGCGGGCGGCGCACAAATAAAACATTAAAAAATAATAAAAACCATACGTAAAATGTTTTTTTTTAAAAAAAAAAAACAGGCAAAGGATGTTAAAAATGCATTAAAAAGGGCGGGGCAAAGGGCTTTCGGGGCCCTAACCAGCCTCACGGCTTGGTATTTTCATCCTGAGGACTAGAAACTTGTTTTGTTTTATTTAAAACCAGGGTTCCTGTTCCTCCACCCCCCTCCCCACTACCACCCTATCCCCAAACTCGATCTGGTAACGTACAAAGCGGAAAGTTGAGAGAAAGATTTTTGGTCCCTTTTCACAAGACTGCTGGCTGTACAGATATCCGTTTTGTTTTTCTTTTTCGCTCCCGTCTTCCCAAACGGCTTTATTCACAAAGGCCCAGCTGCGCAAAAGCCCTGAGCGTGAGTTTTATTTTTAGAGGGAGGCTTTTGAGTGGCACCATTGTGCGATTTTGCTGAGCCAACCAAGCTCCTCTCCCCCCCCCCCGGGGGGGGGCACCATCGTCGTTGCTTTCTCGCTGCCCTGGGTAGACGGCGACGTGCATCTGCAGCTGTCGGCAGAAACGGGGCAGCGACGACAACTTCGCTGCCGCAACAGAAGTGTGACTGGCTTTGTCTGCAAAGAGCCCAGGGGATGGATGAACTCGTTGCTGGAATTGTTTGGAGAACAGCGGCATCCTTGCTGTACGGCTGTGCCGGCTCTTTTGAAAATCTACAGCAATCTCCTATTGCTATTACCTAATTGCTATTTTAATTGAAATGAACGATTGAGGAAATTAGGTATGTCTAGGCCAGGGGTAGGCAACCTGGGCTCTTTTATGACTCGTGGAGTTCAACTCCCAGAATTCCTGAGCCAGCCACGCTGAGGGGAAAGGGAGAGGTTTCCAAGCTGAGCCAGGCTGGCTCAGGAATTCTGGGAGTTGAAGTCCATGAGTCATGAGGGGGCCATAGTTCCCCCATGCTGGCTCAGGAATTCTGGGAGTTGAAGTCCATGAGTCATGAGGGGGCCATAGTTCCCCCATGCTGGCTCAGGAATTCTGAGAGTTGAAGTCCATGAGTCATGAGGGGGCCATAGTTCCCCCATGCTGGCTGAGGAATTCTGGGAGTTGAAGTCCACGAGTCATAAAAGAGCCGAGGCTGCCTACCACTGCCCTATGGGATTCATTGTATGAAGAGCCATGGACACTGGCAGCCACACCTGGGACGGGTAGAGCTCTGGCCTAGAATTGGCTGCTCTTAATCAGAATAGAGCTGGAAGGGACCTTGGAGGTCTTCTAGTCCAACCCGCTGCTCAAGCAGGAGACCCTATACCAGGGGTAGACAGCCTTGGCTCTTTTATGACTCGTGGACTTCAACTCCCAGAATTCCTGAGCCAGCATGGGGGAACTATGGCCCCCTCATGACTGGTGGACTTCAACTCCCAGAATTCCTGAGCCAGCCTGGCTCAGCTTGGAAACCTCTCCCTTTCCCCTCAGCGTGGCTGGCTCAGGAATTCTGGGAGTTGGAGTCCACACGTCTTAAAGTTGCTGAGATGGAGAAACAATGGACTAGGCCAGGGGTGGGGAACCTTGGCTCTTTTACGACTGGTGGACTTCAACTCCCAGAATTCGTGAGCCAGCCACGCTGAGGGGAAAGGGAGAGGTTTCCAAGCTGAGCCACGCTAGCTCAGGAATTCTGGGAGTTGAAGTCCACCAGTCATAAAAGAGCCAAGGTTGCCTACCCCTGGCCTAGTCTAACAAAAAGATTTTTTTGGGGGGGGGAGACACGATAAGCGTCTTCCAGTATTTCAGGGGCTGTCACACAAAACAGGGGATTGACTTATTCTCCAAAGCACCAGAAGGCACCAGAAGTAATGGGTAGAAGCTCATTAAACAGAGATTCAACCTGGAAGGCATGGAAATGATTCTTCCAGCTCTGGGATTCTATGATTCTGTGTTCTTGCAAACCGTAAGCCCGTGTCCCCTTGCTGCATCCTGGCAGTTCTGCCTAGTGGAGCAAACACACACACCTATCGCATCCTCCTTCAAAAGCTAGCTCACTTAGTGGGAAGGTGACAGAATTACAATCCGAGTCCCTCCAGATTTGCACCTCTTTCTTAGCCATATGGTGTTTATCCAACTGCTCACTAAGAAAATGTGGATTCTACCGTGGGTAGACGGATCAAAGCTCGTGGTGTTAAGATCTTAAAGCTTCATTTTAAAGGAGAGAAATTGTGTTATATTTCTGGATTTACATTAGAGTTTCTCCACCTTAGCAATTTTAAGATGTCAGGGCGATGACTCCTGGAATTCCACAACGTTGTACTTGTGCTCTCTGAGATTGGTTGCGTAGGCTGTTCTCTTGCAAACGTTTCATGACCCAGCTAGGTAACATCATCAGTGAAATACACAGAGAACAAATCCCCCACTCCCTTCTAGCAGTGATGTTACCTAGTCTGTTAATGAAACATCTGCAAGAAACATCTGCAAGTTCAGAGAGCCCCAAGGACTCCCACAGTCCTCCTCCTCCTCCTCTCCATAAAACCCATTTCCTTCTAGTACTGATGATGTTACCTGGTTGGGTCATGAAACATCTGCAAGAAAACAACCAAGCTCAGATAGCCCCAAGGACTCCACAGTTCTCCTCCTCCTTCTCCTCCTCCTCCTCCTCCTCCACCACCACCACCACCACCATCACCACCACCTCCTCTTCTCCATAAAACCCACTCCCTTCTAGCACTGATGATGTTACCTGGTTGGGTCATGAAACATCTGCAAGAAAACCACCCAGCTCAGAGAGCACCAAGGACCCCATAGTCGTCTTTCTCCTCCTCCTCCTCCTCCTCCTCCTCCTCCTCCTCCCTTCTAGCACTGATGATGTTCCCTTGTTGGGTCATGAAACATCTGCAAGAAAACCACCCAGCTCAGAGAGCACTAAGGTCACCCCCAGCTCAACGCCGAGCTACAAACATTCTCTTCTATCAGATCCCATCCAATTCTTTAAAGACAAAAAAAAAAAAAAATGTCTCTTTTCTTGTCTCCTTCCCTCCCTTTCGGCCGCTGCCCGCTTCAGGACACCGATCCCAACAACGTGGCCTATGCAGATCTCAACTTCGACAAGGAGGCCCAGAAGAGACCCTGCCCACGGGTGGACAGCCCCCTCCAGTCGGAGTACGCCACCCTCCAGGCGGTGCAGCCCTCCATCCAGGACGAAAACGTCACCTATGCAGACTTGGATATGGTGCAGCTGAACAAAGCCCCCAAGCGGCCGGCCCTGAAGGCGGAGGAAGCGAGTTCGGAGTACGCCAGCGTCCAGGTGCAGAACAAGTGATGTCCGGGAGAGGCGGCGGCCGCTTGGGGTTCGAAGGACCTCTGACCAGTTGGCTGAGGGTTCTTCCGCTAGGGCTTGGACTCGCGATCTTCATGCTCCTCAGAGGTCCCTTGGAAACTGTTTGGTGCTACTCACAGCTGGATCCTGTGTCTGAACTTCTTCCTTCCCCGCTCGGCGGGTGGACGGAAGACGTCAAGATGGGTGAAGGATCTAACACGGCTTCTCTCACCGAGCACCACCGCCCTCTTCTCAACATCCGTCAACACGCCAACAAGGACGAGCAGGCCACGAGAGGCGCGCGGGTGCAGGCCGGTGCCACGTCTGGCTCTTCCTGGTGAAGCTCTTCTCGTTGGCCTTTGGAGAGCACCAAGCTTCTGAGATGCCACCTTGAGATTCCTCCTTCGCGCAGCCCGCCTGTATCGGTGGCCCCAGCTCGCCCCCTAAAACTTGAAATAAACTTGTGGATTGGGCCCTGTCCACTTCAAAGGTCTCGACTTGGCTTCAGGAGAAGGGGGGGGGGAGAAGGAGGTCTGCTTCTCAAGGGCTGTTGGGCTGAGGAAGCCTCCCATTTTTTGGGTCCAGAGGGGTTCTCTTTCACTTTGCTTTACTCTAACCCGCAGGTACTTCCTCGGTTTGCCCGTGACAAGACGTGCCTCTTTAGCTCAGCTTCAGTCAGGCTTTTGCTGGCAAGGCTACAGATCTGTAGACAAGCTTCTCGAGTGTCAATCTCCTTCCTCCTCCTATCCTCCTCCTCCTTCTTCTTCTACTTCCTCTTCTTTGAAATCAACATTTCTTCCCTCAGGACTTCTCGTTTTGGGGAGGCGATGAGACGCGTGAAACAGCCTCGGCGATCTACCCGGCCCTTCGAGAATTAGGAACGCCCACTGATTAATCGCTTGGGTTCCTGACCAATCTTTTATCTTCGTTACGGGCCTTCTCCCCATAGTAAACTAAGAGTAACTCTAACGGTAAAGATGTGTGTGTGTGTGAAGGTGTATGTGTGTTTGTGTGTGTTTCTGAAAGGGGGGGGGAATCTCCCTTCTCTTTCCACCGTCCTCGTGTCCCGGAGATAGAGCTACGGCAGGGGATCTCCAAATTTGGGCACTTATAAGACTTGTGGACTTCAACTCCCAGAATTCCCCAGCCAGCACGGCTGGCTGGGGAATTCTGGGAGTTGAAGTCCACAAGTCTTAAAGTGCTCAAGTTTAGCCATCCCCCACATCCCTCAGTCTACAGCAACACAAACTTAAGTCTTCTCTGTAACTCCACTCATGAATTCTTCTGGTGGACGTCGAGAAGGACAACGTTTGACCTTGAAAACAAGGCTGGGGCTTTGGAAGGACGGGGCTGTTGGCCGGAGGTCTTCTTGATCTCCCACCAGGTGGGTGGAGCATAGGGAAACATCTCCAGATGAAGGGAGAGGAACAGGGGCCCCATCTGGCTTGACCTGACGCCTTTGGGGAGGTCAACCTGACCCACCTATTTTGTGATTTCTTCTCTTCCTACCCACCAGATCTATGGGGCTTCTTCTTCCCTTCTTTAAGTCTTAATTTTTTTTTTTTCGTTCTGGAAGTGCCGTTGAATAAGAATGGGGGGGAAGGAGAAGGGGGGGTCCCTTAAAAACGGGACCCCGTTTGCCCCTCTTGAGGGGGGTAGGGGCACCTCGCGAGATGCCGCTGTACTGCTTGTGTTGACTGTCCAACCTTATAACTGTTTACTCCTTTTACAACTAAAACATACCAATATTTGTGTACGTTCTTTGTAAGTGAGTGTAGTACCGTGTACTTAGCACTAGTGTGGAAAAGAATCAGAGGAGCAAGGGACGGGCCTGAGCGCCAGGGAAGACGTCCGTTCGGAGGGTTGGCTTCCAAGATCTCCAGATGGCAACTTCTTGAGAAGTTGCCAAGCTGGAGGAAGGCTGCTCTGAACCTTCACGACCAACCTTCTGGGGCTCCCATGCCACCGGTAACCAAAACTCTTCTTGAGATGGTTTTTCTTTCAAGGTCCTCCTTGTTGTGGCATTGCGTTCCTCCTTAACCGTAACGTGTAAGAACTAACTGGCAATTTGGGTGGACACGGAAGGAGGGAGGGAAGCCATAGGGATGTCTCCCAATGCTGTTGGGTCCATCTTGCACACCGATGTCCATCTTGAGGATCCAAGAAGACCTCAAAAGCTCCCAGGGAAATGGACCACCTTGAGACATCTCCCTCACCTTCCCCCTGACCTCTGCTGCTTTCAGCTGGCTCTCCATCAAACCCCTGAAGAGCCATCTTCCTCTTGGATTAGTTGACGATCCCTTTTCACCCTAGCTCATCCAAGGTCACATCTCCGAACCCTGGAATTGACCCTCCCGTGGAGGTTCTCCTGGTGGAGCTTGGAATCCAGGTGCTGCTGTGAGATCCCTGATTTTCTTAAACACCCTGGGAGAGGTCATACCTGTTGAAAGCCTCTTAAAGGGAAACCGTGAGGATGGAATTCAGGAATCTGGGCAAGCGATCAAGTCCTCACCTTCCTAGGTCGCAAAGACCTAAGTGAGGTGAGCACTTACGGTCCTCCAGACTTTGAAGAACTACATCTCCCATTAGGCCTCCTTCTGGAGTGACAGTTCTACAACATCTGGAGGCCTCAAATTCTCCATTCCCGTTTGGGAAGGAGCGAAGGTTGGTGCTTCCTTCTGGAAGGAGTTGGATTGGCGTGTCCCTCAAAGCCAACCTAGATGTTCCTACTGCCCAGCAACCGCTATTGAAGGCAGCCGCTTGGGTCTTTTCCTTCCACCTCTCCTGGATCTTTCTCCTCCAGCTCTGCTCTGAATTTACACCCCCGTGCTGTGCCAACTGGATTGGAACAAAGCTAATTGTGATGCTTGTGGGCTCATGAACACAACGGAGAAGGAGGTGGCCCTTAGGGTTGACTCACGATTGTTATTTGGGGATGACACACCATAGCACGGCGAAGAACTCACCCCAGCTGTTTGCCTGCTTTAGTTACAGTGACAACGAGGGCGCCCAGAAGCTTCAAAATCCTACTGCTTGGAAGAGAATTGTCAAAACTTGGGCAAAGCAGAAAAGGGGGAATTAGCGAGTAGCGATTGCGTAGAGCAGGGATATCCAACCTTGGCAACTTTTTTTAAGATTGGTGGACTTCACGTGCCAGAATTCCCCAGCCAGCATAGCTGGCTGGGGGATTCTGGGAGTTGAAGTCCACCACTCTTAGAAGTATTGGCTGACTGGGGGATTCTGGGAGTTGAAGTCCACCAGCCTTAAAAGTATTGGCTGGCTGGGGGATTCTGGGAGTTGACGTCCACCAGTCTTAAAAATATTGGCTGGCTGGGGGGTTCTGGGAGTTGAAGTCCACCAGCCTTAAAAGTATTGGCTGGCTGGCGGATTCTGGGAGTTGAAGTCCACCAGTCTTAGAAGTATTGGCCGGCTGGAGGATTCTGGGAGTTGACGTCCACCAGTCGTAAAAGTTGTCAAGGCTGGACACCCCTGATGTAAAGCAACCTTCATCAACCCTAACCCTGACGTCAGTTCCCAGAATTCCAGCCTCCACAGGTAAAGGCATGCTGGGGAATGAAGTCCACACAACAGCGAGCATCCCACTTATAGGAAGATTGTGAAATAGCCTCAGTGCTTGGCCTCAGTTTGCCGGAAGGAATGGAACGAAGGTCAGGGGAGGCGGGGCGGGATGGGGAAGGGAAGGGTTATTGAACTCGTTGGGATATATTTGTTGTGGACCGGAAAAGTACGTGTTTGTATGAATTGCACCTTATTTTATTTTTTTTTTGTTTCCTGATTTTGTTTTGTTTTTTTTTCGCTTGCAAGATATTTTTGTAATAAAACGTTCTGCATCATCTTTTGGTTTTGTGTGAGTGGTCATGACTGAGTTGGCGTTAAAGACATAGAGGCGGTCCTCGAGTTACGGCCCAAAATTTGAGGCCAAAATTTCCATTGTTAAGTGAAACAGCTGTTTAAATGAACGTTGCCCCATTTTTTGCAACTTTTCTGGCCACAGGTTACAGCCCCCTTTGAACCCAAAATTTCCGTTGTTCAGTGACACAACTAATGATAATAATAATAATGAAGTTGGAAGGGACCTTGGAGGTCATCTAGTCCAACCCCCTGCTCAGGCAGGAAACCCTATACCATTTTGGACAAATGGCTGTCCCGTCTCTTCTTAAAAACTATTAAGTGAATGTTGCCCCATTTTGCAACCTTTGTGGCCACCTTTGAACCCAACATTTCGGTCATTAAGTGAGTTTTGCCCCACTTTACAACCTTTCTGCCCACCGTTGTTAAGCGAATCAGTACTATTGTTAAGCTAGGAACACCGCTATTAAGCAAATCAGGCTTCCCCGTTGACTAGGGTCACAAAAAGGGGATCACGTGACTCGGGGGGCACTGCAACCGTCATAAATACGAGTCAGTTGCCAAGTGTCTGAATTTTGATCACGTGACCCTGGAGACGACGCAAGGCTCATAAAGTAGGGACAATCCATCATAATTCCCTGTTTTCAAGGCTGTTGTAACTTTGGACCGTCCCTAAACAGAACTGCTGTAAATCGAGGACTATTTTTACGCACTTCCGGGCAAAAGAACCAATCTTTTCTGCTTCATTGTGAAAAAAAGAAGAGAGAAGCAGAACTTGAAGAAAGTCTCATCTCGATCGTCCACCCAAATATCCGAGCGCAGCGATGCAAAATAGAAAAATAGCTGGTGCTTGCAAAAAAAAAAACAGAAAAACACACATTCCACCCTCGCCCAAACCAATAATTATCGGGGGGGGGAGGCAATCTACAATTACGCAGAACTGCTAGGCTGAATGGGAAGTCCAACCGTCGCTTATTCGCCCATTCTGAAGGAGAACAATAATTCTAATTATTATTGTTTGGACTTGGCCACAGCTGTTTATCGCTTGACTAGCAGCCACGGGACAGATGGAAAAAAAAGGGGGGGGGTCTGCCGTTCTTTATTTTCTCCCACCCGTATTTTATTTTATTTTATTTTAAAAAAAAGAAAAATTGTGATTTTTTTTTTCCCCGAGTCGCGTTTTTCCAAAATCCGCAAGTAAGCAAACAGCTTTATGTCATTTTGGGATTGCATCTGTTCACATAATCATCGGCGTATGAATTGATTTTGCAGGACGAGTTATTTTCCAGATCGCACAATGTACACAATGCCAGCCAGCTTTGACGTATCTTGCAAAAGTCCCTCTCGCCTCGGGAAAGTTTTCTGACAGTTGGCCCGCTCTGCCCAACGATGGATCCTTGGGCCAACGGGGTGCGGTTCCACATTTCCCCTATCCCCCGACTTTTTAAACTGGGTTATTGCTCGTTTATTTATCTTCATGCCATCTTTATTATTTTTTGTAGACAATTCAGGGAAGCAAACGTACCTAATGCTGCTTCTTCCTCCTACTTTCCCCGTAACAACATCCCTGGGAGGTGGATTGGGCTGAGAGAGCGAAAGAGGGACTGGCTCAAAGTGATCCAG